GCATATTTCCCGGCGGCGCCCCGCTCCCATCGCAAAATGTGCAATATCCTTTTGTTGCACAAATAGTGCGGAGAAGTGATAGCCGATTTATCCTTTTCGGTAGTGCCATGCTGTGTAGAATTGAGCATTTTATTGAACAGCCATCTAGAATCTACATTTCATTGTGCGCATCAATATGAAAACTTGGTGCGAACTCGAAGATTATTGTTGCCAGGCCAGCAATGCCGAATAGGTAACCTGGGAAATATTAACGAATAAGCAAATTGAAATCTGCGACGAGATGTTATTTTCATTCTTCGATTTATTAGTAGCATTGAATAGCCCGTTAAATTTAGTACCCAACATATTCTAGACTGAATTTACTATTGCCTTGCTTGTTGGCAAAAGCAATAAATATGCACACATCGCGCGCCGCCCTGGACGCACCCATTGTATTAAAATGCGACGTCGGCTCGATGCACTCCTTCTGTTCCCCAAAAAGTGCGATGAAGTGATGGCGGATAATTCCTCGAATCTGGTGTCATTCTGTGTAGAATTGAACGCTGTATCTAATGCTTGTCTAGAATCCACATTTTATCGTGCACGTCCATAAGAAATTGATAGAAGAATTGAAGAATGTATAGCCAGCAGTGCCCAATGGGCCTCTAAATAAAGACAAGTAGGACACATGAAATCTGCGACGAGATATCATGCTCATTCTTCGAATAATCAGTATTATTGAATAGCCCTTAAAATGTGTTCCCAGATGCGATTCTAGAACCAATGCACTATCCCATTATTTATTGGCACCAAACAATTAATTGGCATGCATATTTCCCGGCGGCGCCCCGCTCCCATCGCAAAATGTGCAATATCCTTTTGTTGCACAAATAGTGCGGAGAAGTGATAGCCGATTTATCCTTTTCGGTAGTGCCATGCTGTGTAGAATTGAGCATTTTATTGAACAGCCATCTAGAATCTACATTTCATTGTGCGCATCAATATGAAAACTTGGTGCGAACTCGAAGATTATTGTTGCCAGGCCAGCAATGCCGAAAAGGTAACCTGGGAAATATTAACGAATAAGCAAATTGAAAATTGCGACGAGATGTTATTATCATTCTTCGATTGATTAGTAGCATTCAATAGCCCGTTAAATTTAGTACCAAACATGATTCTAGATTGAATTTACTATTGCCTTGCTTGTTGGCAAAAGCAATAAATATGCACACATCGCACGCCGCCCTGGACGCACCCATTGTATTAAAATGCGACGTCGGCTCGACACTCCTTCTGTTCCACAAAAAGTGCGATGAAGTGATGGCGGATAATTCCTCGAATCTGGTGTCATTCTGTGTAGAATTGAACGCTGTATCTAATGCTTGTCTAGAATCGACATTTTATCGTGCACGCCAATAAAAATTGATAAAAGCTTGGTATGGCCAGCAGTACTCATGGTTCTCCAAATGACAAGTGGGAAAAATAAAATCTGCGACGAGTTATCATTCTCATTCCTCGAATGGCCGGTATCATTAACCCTTGCCCGCACATGCCATTTTCCCATCCTAGAACGCACATGGGGGGGGGTTGCCACCCCCCGCGCCATTTCGTTCCTGTTGGAGATAGAGCTTAGCGGTAAAGACCAAAAAGATTCTTTGGGAAGAGACGAATCCAATGATACCCAGTTTTACCTTCTCAGGTCAGTCATTGACCTTCCAGGTCAGGTCAAACTAAAAAATGTTGCTGTTTTGGGTCACCATTGGATATCAAGTGCGCTGCTTATCAAATACCGATGACGATGCTGTTTTCTGGTGCCAAGCCAGCTAGAACCTCTTTGTCACACTACCCGACCAGAATTTTGCTGCTGAGGTCATTTCAGGTCAAGTTAGGTCAAGGTCAATTATATGTGTTTGTATGTCTGTGTGTGTCTGTGTGTATACTGATTTGTGCACCGATTGTTTTTGGGTCCATATTACATGAAATCATGATCTGAGAAGCTTTTTCCAAAAATGCAGTCAAAAAACTTCACAAAAAGTAAATTCAGCTTGCCTAAAACGCAATTATCTTAGATGACCTAGGTTGACCTTGACCCTGACCTTGACCCCTGTACATCGTCGAACAACATGTTCCATGATAGGTGGGAGGTAAGACTGGCAAAAAAGGCCGAAATCAGGGTGTCAAAAGCTCACAAGGCCCATGGCAAACGCAAGATATTGAGAATTGGCCATTTGGGTCATGACATGACCTGAAAAACAAGGTCATATCTCCGAAACCAAAAATCACAGAAACTTGTTAAAAAGCCCGTAAAATGTATTCCCGGACCGGAGACGATTATCGAACCAACGTATTATTCCTTTGTTTGTTGGCAACAAACAATCGAGTAGCATACATCGTTCGTGGCGGGGTCCCACTCCTCTCGCGAAACGATGAAACATCCTTCTATTTCACAAATAGTGCTGTGAAGTGATAGCAGAATTATCCTTTTCATCAGTGCCATATTGTGTAGAATTGATTGCTTTATCAAACAGCTATCTAGAATCTGCACATAATTTTGCGCATCAATATGAAAACTTGGTGCGAACCTCGAAGGTATTGGTTGTTGGGCGAGCAATGCCGAATAGGTAAGCCGGGAAATATTAACGAGTAAGGAAATTGAAAGCTGCGACGAGATGTTACTTTAATTCTTCAAATAATTAGCAGCATTGAATATTCCGTTGAATTTAGAACCCAACATGATTCTATATTGAATTCACCATTGCCTTGCTTGTTGGCAAAAACAATAAATATGCACACATCGCACGCCGCCCTGGACGCACCCATTGCATTAAAATGCAACGTCGGCTCGACACTCCTTCTGTTCCACAAAAAGTGCGGTGAAGTGATGGCGGATAATCCCTCGAATTTGGTGTCATTCTGTGTAGAATTGAACGTTGTATCGAATGCTTGTCTAGAATCGACATTTTATCGTGCATGCCAATACAAATTGATAAAAGCTTATGTATGGCCAGCAGTGCTCCATGGGCCTCCAAATAAAGACAAGTAGGAAAAATAAAATCTGCGACGAGATATCATTCTCATTCCTCAAATACCCGGTATCATTAGAAAGCCCGTAAAAAGTGTTCCCGGACAATATTCTGGAACCAACGTACCTATTATTCCTTTGTTTATTGGCAACAATCAATTAGCATGCATCGTTCGCGGCGGCGTCCCGCTCCCATCGCAAATATATGCAATATCCTTTTGTTCCACTAATAGTGCGGTGAAGGGATTGCAGATTTATCCTTTTCAATAGTGCCATATTGTGTAGAATTGAGCACTTTATTGAAAAGCCATCTAGAATCGACATTTCATTGTACGTATCAACATGAAAACTTGATGCAAACTCGAAGGTTAATGCAGACGAGCAATGCCGACCTAACCTGGGAAATATTAACGAGTAAGCAAATTGAAATCCGCGACGAGATGTTATTTTAATTCTTCGAATAATTAGTAGCATTGAATGGCCCGTTAAATTTAGTACCAAATGCCATTCTAGATTCAATTTATTATTGCCTCGCTTGTTGGCAAAAGCAATAAATCTGTACATATCGCACGCCGCCCTGCTACGCTCCCATTGCGTTAGTATGCAACGTCGCCTCGACATTCTTTCTGTTCCACAAAAAGTGCGATGAAGTGATGGCAGATAATCTCTTAAATTTAGTGTCATTCTGTGTAGAATTAAACGCTGTATCGAATGCTAATCTAGAATCATATGTCATTGGTGTCCGTCTATGCAAAGTTCCACTGCAAACTTGAATTTTCGCCTCGGAGCGGTCGCCGACGGGCCGAGTGTCACGTGACCCCAATCTCAGGAGCCGGTCAAGGTCACATGACCAGAGATCGGTCAGTAGTTCTCAGATTTACCGCTAGAGTAGCGCCACTTGTATCGATGTCCGCCCTTGGACCGTAACGTGGAATTTTTATAGGTGATTTGACCCTCGCCCGCATAGAAGGACGGGGAACTCTCCCTCCCCTCGAACAACGGACCCCTCCCTCGTTTTTTTTTTCGCAAATGACTCGCGTAAAAAGCGGCTGATCGCTACGAAACTTTCAGTACCTTCGAGTTAATCAATTTTACACCTACCCCGAAATTTTCATGTTCCTGACCTAATTGACCTTTGGCCTGTGACCTATTTCTTGAGACCAGTTTTGTCGGAATCGCGATTCGGCGTATGTCGGCTCGCATTAGCCGCGCGTTTGCAGTCTTTCCATGGTTTCAAGCGTTCAAACATGTAATGTGATGTTCGTCCCATGCATTAGGGTGGGTGCCAAGGTCACCTGAAGGTCAGGTCATTGACCTTTGATGACCTCGATTCACTTTTTCGAGTCATGTACTAGGCTAGTTTTTCGGAGCTGAATTCGAATTTAGCAACCATTTGAACATTTACGAAGTAGTTTTGGTGACTTCGTAACATGTAACGAAGCTGTCAGAGGCGGTTGACAAGTACCGGCAGGACCTCTGCTGGTCGACCTGACGTGACCTGACCCGACCGGGTCTAAATGCATGAAGACATCATCTGTGATCAAAACTAACATGACGTTCGTGATCAGCACCCACAAAACCCCATAGCAGCCACACTTTACGACGTTCTTAGCTTATGTAGAGCTAAATGAGAATTCGACATTCACGTGGAATACCTTGATGTGTTCAAAGCCAATCTCCGAGCAGCCCATCGTGTGATCACCAACAATAGTCTCCTTAACCCTCGCCCGTGTTGGTGTTTTGCTAGCCGCGAACGTATACGGAGGAGGGATCCCGGTTGGACTCCCCCCTCTCGCCGTTTCGCCCCTGATCAAGCTAGAGCTTCGCGGAAAAAACGAACGTGCTGCCCGTGACGAGAGGAAGCCGATGATACCCAATTCCAAGGTCGTAGGTCATTGGCTGACGGACGGGTGGCATTGGCAATCAAGGAAATTGCTCGTTTGCCAGGTGACTTGGTGTCTGTAACGTCCGTAACATCCGCTCCTGTTATGTCACCCAGGGCTGGTCGTACACGCTGGAGGCCAGCTTCCTGGAGATTTATAATGAAACCATCCGCGACCTGCTCAGCACGTCGAAGGAGAAGATGAACTACGAGATCCGCATGAAAGACAGCAAGCTCAACAGCAAGACTAAGGAGGTGTATGTCACCAACCTCAAGGTGGGCTTGAAGTGATGTAGATTGTTTGTCATGTGACGTCAGCCCACTAGCCACAAACTATCCGAACGAAATATTTGCCGGGGGAATAGGAGGCATGCACCTCCGCGAGCTTGAAAGATTTTCATTGGTAAATGTTCATTGCTTTAGTCTTTAATTATTCGTGGCTACTTTGATGGCATACTGTCCCACTCGCACCTCCTGTGTGGCTAGGTAGTAAGGATGACTGAATGGAATGCCCCTCCCCTCACATACATAGGCCGTACTGACACCTGTCCCCTTCCCCCTCTGTGGCCAGGTGGTGACGGTGACGGAGCAGGCGGACGTGGCCTCGCTGCTGGAGCGGGCCCGCCAGCAGCGCGCCGTGGCCGCCACCAACTGCAACGAGCACTCGTCGCGCTCACACTCTGTATTCACCCTGCGGATGGAGGGCCGGAACGCGCTCACCACCGAGACCTGCCACGGGTCACTGAACCTGGTGGACCTGGCAGGCTCCGAGAGGCTCAAAGAGTCCGGCTCGCAGGGCGACCGTCTCACCGAGACCAAGAACATTAACAAGTCGCTGGCCAACCTCGGAAACGTCATCATGGCGCTGGGAAATAAGGTAACTAACTCGCCCGGGCGGTGGCGGGCTGTCGACAAAATTAAGCGCATAATTGTGGCAAAGTGAGGCTTATGAACACGTTGTATGGCATTTAGCACGATTGTCTGTGATGGTTATTGCATTTTGGGTTTAGGGATGCTCACATGCGCGGTGTTTCGCAGCGCCCTATTTGGTGGTGCAGTTTTGCTCGAGTGATGGTGCAATATGATCTGCGTCCATTCCGATCGATTCGTTTACCAACCTCGCCCTGTCCCGCCCATTGCCTGACCGCCTCCGTCTGTGCCTTACAGCAGGACCACGTGCCGTTCCGAAACTCCAAGCTCACACACCTGCTGCAGCACTCCCTCGGCGGCAACAGCAAAACGCTCATGTTCGTCAACGTGTCGCCGCGCGAGGACTGCGCCGCCGAAACCCTCAACTCTCTGCGCTTCGCCGCCAAGGTCAACCAGTGCCACATCGGCACTGCCACGAAACGCACCAAGTGAGGGCGATTGCGCCGCGCGAGGCTGAGCCGTGTATAGGTGGGGGCCTGGCTTTCCAGCGGCGACCGGAACGATAAATTCTCTAGCCTCGGGATCTCTCGGGCGCGCGCTGTATGTACTGTACCGCTGGGGAGAGACTATCGGACGCCCTCTCGTCGCGTCGGTGCGCACTGCGTCCCCAGCATAGCGCGCCGTGGGTCTCCATGTTTATCGATGGGTGAGTGTGTGGGAAGAGACTACAGGGTGTTTCACTAAAAGTGTCAAAAAGTAAATGCTTATTAAAGATATATAGAATATGCAAATCACGTGGCTGCGCACGTGGCTTTGTTGCAAATTTTTGGACATTTATTATTTATCCATTTAAGATATATTTTACACTCATACGGAGCGAGGGCAGGAGGCCAAAGTTACTAGTCATTTTTTCCTTATGCAGAACAAGAACAGTTATTTACACCGCAACAGGAGGGGTGAATTACACTTATGTACATTTGGTGCCATCAGAAACATTGAAACCGTATGCCGACTTTTCAGGAAACTTTTTACTCTCTCACCTCGCTACGTTCCAGATTATAAAAGTTTCAAAGGGCTTGTTGAGAGGTTTAAAAGGGTCCCTTCGATGCCGGTTCCAGTCCAAAAAAGGCGGGGTTGCCCCCACCTCTCGGCGGAAACCGTTGAGAAGGTCAGGGTCTTTTTGAGGGCCTTTGAAGATAACAAGAAGCTAATTCCAACATCAGAAATAGCCAGGGTCTTACAAGTTATTAAAATCAACCACTGTAACGGCTGTAGCCACCAGCAACTGACTGGACCAGAAGCTCCTGGGCCGAATAATCTGCTGCCTCGCCGCTCGCCAGCCAGCGCGAAGCCCCGATCTGTCACCGCTAAGCCTCTGGTTTGGTCAGTGACTCAGTAGCTCTCGCAGAGCTGAGGAAGACTCAAGTCGCATCACTTCGGGAGCTGAAGAGCACAATTCAAGGCTTTGCCGACAGTCTGGACGCTGAAGATGAAAACGGGCTGTGAGGCACCTCCGGACACGTGCCGAAACGGTGCATCAAAAGAAGGGGCAGATGTGTGGAATAGGTTTGAGTGACGGTGATATCGTTTTTATATATTCAAATGTCCAACAATTGCGGATGAAATGATATGCAAATTTCCTCAGAAAACATTGTTATTATGTGCATTATGACCTTTTACTTTTTGACATTTTTAGTGAAACACCCTGTAGTTAGCGAAATGTGTGTCTGGTTCCCTGAGAGGTCGTCCTATCTAAGGCACGGCAGCCCGAGACGATGTGTAGCCCTGGGCATGAGCGTTGTGTGCCTGACGGAACTCACAGCCTGTAGCGGCGGGCTCTGGATATGTGTCGACGCCAGCACTCGCTCCGTTTAGCGGTCTCAGTAGACGTCTGCTGGCAGAGCTTGCTAGGCCATTTTCCCACCCTCAACCTCTTCTCGCGCTATCGGTCGTGTCACTCGTGTGCACTGTAGTTGACTGTGTAGTGTCATGAATTACTCTTAGAATACACCGTGTGACTGAGCACCTAATCGTACTCCAGCTTTCTGTCGGTGCCCGCATAGCTTTTAGCGTTGATTTCCCTTGTGTTTGTTGCAAAATATGAAGTCTGTTTTATATGTTTCGCTGCTGCTCATTCTGCATTGGGGGATGGCTTTCGACATGCAGGACATAACCGACTCATAATAATGGTCTCACGGAATACTGTCAATCAAAACCAATAGTCACCTTCATAGTTTTCTGGCTGATTACGTAACCTCTTCATACCCGTCACTAATCACCGGCTAGCCTTGTTTCCGCCGACTGGTCTTGCCGCGTGCGGGCATGTCAGAGGAAGTCCGCGAGATGATCAATCATGAATGTCTGGCTTTGTGGAGGGCTCATCGGTCTGTATCTCATCGATCGCTTTAATACATTCGGGAACTCATTCAACTGCCTTTTTACATGGTTACACGGCAGATTTATTGCGCCCTCTCAGCAGAATCGCTTTTCAGCCGATGCTTCACATAACAGTGTGTCTTCGAGTCTTTTTCCTCCAAGTAGAAGTTCAAATAGTCTCCCGTCAAAGGTCATCACACCTGTGCCCGGAGCTCCTCAGTCAGCGCCAAACACCGCCCGCCGTTTGTGTAAATAGTTTATTTGGTACGCACTGTCATGGCGGAAGGTTTGCGGCCCGGCGGCGGTCCGCTGGAGGGCCCGGTCCTCTGGTTTGACGGGGAGATAGAATCGCTATAACTCGCGACTCAGTCCCCTTACCGACCGGCCAACAAGCCGAGACCCACCGCCGGCCCAGAGAGCTCTGAGTTTTGGCACAGGTTCCCTCCCTCTGTCCCTCCCTCCGACCAAGTGTGACACTCAGTCTCAGCAGTAACCCCACAGGACACACGACCCTCCCCTCCCGAAATAAATACACACTGGTGGCTGCGGCAAGTACAAACACACTCATACCATTGAATAGTGGAAAATGCACTGCGCGGCTGCCGAGTCACGCCGGCATTCGCAACAGCGCACGATCGCTAGCACACGCACGCATTGTCATGATGAGACACAGTCGATGGGTGACGTCATACCGGCGGTGACGTCAGCACAGACACGCCGGCGCGGACTGAGTTGAAAAGGAGATATGACTGACTGGCAGGTGGCGGCCGCCGGACGCCGCTGACCCGGAGACGCGACTGCCCAGAGTACCGAGCAAAGCCGAGTCCGTCCCCCGACACGGGGGTGCTCTGCTCACCACGCGAGTACAAAGGACAAGGTACAACAGAACCTGCCGGGCCACGTCCGCCCCTCCCTCCCTACCCCAGCGCTCTCTCGCTCAGATCACTCACCCCTCACACACCTCTCTCGCTCACTCACCCTCACTCTTTGGTCGAAGTTGAAGCGCATATTGGTCGCCTGGTTGGGCGGATTGCACGTGCCGCAGTGGCCGCGGCGGCCGGTCTGTCTCAGACGGCCGAGGGTGCCGGCCGGCCGGGCGCCTCCCCCGGCAGGAACACCTCGCAGTCCGCTCCCGGCTCGCCGGGGAACACAAAGTGGGCGGCGCCCGAGGTGCGCGGCGTCACAAACCACGGCTCGCTGGCCGACGAGCCACCGTTGACGAAGCCCGAGTCGCCGGACGGCTGTGGCGGCCGCTGTTTTCCGACCGGTGGTACTGCCTCGAGGGGCAGCAGGGTGTCCCGCGGCTCCTCGGGGGTGGTCGCCTCCGACCAGCCGCCGCCGCCGCCGCTGCCGCTCGGCTCGTCAGCGCCCGGCGACTGGCTGATGACGGAGAGGGGTCGGCGCCGCGGCAGCGCGGCGGCGCGCAGCACTTCCCGCAGCAGGCTGCCGCCGCCGGAGCTGGACGCCTCGCTCACAGTGTCCGGAGAGGCGAGCGGCGCCGGCTGGCCCGCGCGGCCCGGCCAGCCGCTGATGGGCGGAGTGGGCGGACACGGCCGCCGACCCGTCCACACCAGCTGCAGGGTGCTCACTGACACCGTGTCCTCGAACGGAGGCGGCGGCGGCGGCGGCGGCGGCGTCGCGAACTCGCAGTCGAAACTGGTCTCCAGCTGCAGCCGGCGCTGGCTGACGGTGGCCGGGGCGGCGGCGGGGGCGGGGGCGGCAGCCAGCAGCGGAGACGACACCAGCGGCCGCCGCTCCTCAGAGGCGCCGCGCAGATGGCTGGCCCCCGACCGGACCGGCTTGGCCGGACCCACGCAGCTCAGGACCTGTACGGAAGGATCGGGTCATTATGATAGGGCATAGCATATGAATGGCCATAGCCAGACAGACGTTACGAAACAAGCTCTAACGTTGATAAGCGGTGTTTACCGCGAACAACCCACGATACACACTTCGATGGAGCGTGATTTGAACAGAAAATACACTTTCCATGTTTAGAGAAGGTGTTACGACAGGTGAAGGGAATAACTGAAACGTGCAAAGAAACTATGCAGATCATGCCACCATGAGGTGCAAGGAAGAGTAAATAAAGATAAATGAGAATTGAGCATTTATCAACAAGGGCGTGTGCAACATCGACTGCAAGCAAACAAACTACCCGTGCGTTAGCGCTGAGCGACAGCCCCGGCCGGTAGACCTACCGAACCTGATCTCTCCGCGCGGGTCCTCCTCTGTCAGACTGCAGAGCCGGTCTCGTCACACCCAGCTACACTCTACACCGGGCCGGGACCGCTCGGTCTGTCGCCGCCGCCACGAGTCCGTCTCGGCCGTCAGATCAGTGCTGAGCTCCGACAGCTCGCTGCTGGCGTCCGAGTCGAGCTCGCCCTCCCCATCGCCGTTCGGTGGGGGAGCTTCCGTTAGTGGGACCGGTCCGGGCTGGTGATTCTTCTCGACACCGGTCGACGCGTGTTCGACATTGTCCAGTCTTACAGTGCCACCCGGGCCGGACCGACAGTCCGATTCGTTAGACAATTGAGGCAGGTCACCGTTCACAGAAGTGTCAGCGCCACTGTCAGGGGTACTCACCTCACCGCCATTACTTTCACCACTACCACTAGTCTCTCCACTTCCACTTCCATCGGCGGCAGGGTGCTCACTCCTCACATTAGAGTCAGACACCTCACACTCCGCTGGCGGCTTCACCTCACGGTTAGACGGTGGAGAAGCTCCCTCAGTCTCCACTCGGTACCGGGCGGGTTCGGAGTCAGCCCCAGCAGCCGACACTCTTCGACTCCCTCGTCGTTTGGTGCAGGGTGCCGCATCGCTCCGACTGGGTGATCCTGACGCAGCGGTCTGACAGCCGTGGAGATCGACCGAGACCTCCTCGGGGTTGACTCGAGCGGCAGCGGCGGGCGGAGCGGGATCCCCGTCACCGGTTCCACCATCAGTCTCCGGCCGCGGTCCACACGTGAAGTCCACATCGGCGGTCTCAGCGTCCATCTGACTGGCTCCGCTGTTGATGTGACCCGCGTCGCGGTCCCCAGCGCTGTCGGCGGCGCCGACCGGCCGGCCGTGGGACGAGGCGGGTGCTGCCGCCGTGGAGAAGGCCGTCGCAGCAACACGAGCGGCCAGAAACTGGCCGGGAAACAGAGCAGAGACAGAGATAGAGACAGGCCGACAGATAGACAGACAGACAGTGGCGTGCGAAGGAGGCTGTCACGGGGAGTCGGCTCGCCACAGCCCACACATGCGCTATACCCGACACACATAGATCGGTTAGAGACAAAGATTAACCGATAGTGCTGGCATGGCCGTTTACGAAAGAACTACATAGAGATCAGCAAGGTGCTAGAAAATAAAGAAAAAAAAAGATTCACATTCAGATATGAAATGATAGTTAAAATCTATTTCGAACATCAGTATCCTACATGCAAAATTTCAACAAACATTCGCCGTTCTAGAAAAAGTAATTAACTCGACAACAATTACTCGTATGATTCCCTACTTCGCAAGCTTCCAAGGCAAGCGACCCTCAATGCAAGCAATCCCAGTGAGCACGACCCGGCTTTGAGTCGGGTCTGGCAATAAGCAGCCCACAGCTCAGTTTGCACGGCGCCTCACACCCGCTCTCGGCAGTGAGGCCGATAGAGTCCTGGCGGCGTCTACCCACCTTCTGGAGTGCCTGCAGCACCTTGTCCGGCATGTGGTCCTGGATCATCACCGGCGAGATGAGCACCTCGTCAAACGAATCGTTTTCCACCCAGATGGCCTGGTACACCGGCTCGCCGCGGCGCACCTTTTTGTCACTGAGAGGGGGAGGTCGGCAGAGTCAGGAACGGCTGATCGGTGTCGGTGCGTGCATACCAATTACATAATAGAGGCATTAGGGACTGGCTAGCATAAGATGCTTATCCGAAACAGCTACCGTTGTAATAATGAAATGCTTTTGCCGTTCACTTTATTGTACACATTAGAACTAGTGGCAAGTGTCATACGTACCCGCCGTAGTGCTCGGGTTGGTGTGTGTAAGAGCGCTATTATACGTATCCGCCGTGGTGCTCGGATGGTGTATGTATTACGTACCCGCCGTGGTGCTGGGGGTGGTGTGTGTAATAGCACTATTATACGTATCCGCCGTGGTGCTCGGGGTGGTGTATGTATTACGTACCCGCCGTGGTGCTCGGATGGTGTATGTATTACGTACCCGCCGTGGTGCTCGGGGTGGTGCCGCACAATGTGCATCACTCGGAATGTTATAGTGGTGTTATACGTACCCGCCGTGATGCTCGGGGTGGTGCCGCACAATGTGCATCACCCGGCCGGGAGGGTAGAGCGGCTGGTGCACGGTGAGCGCGATGGTCGAGTCGCTCGGGTGAGCGGCGGAGAGCTGCCGGCCGGCCAGCCGCCGCTGCACCAGGTCACCGCAGGCGGCCGAGGAGGCCTCCTCGGAGGAGCAGCAGCAGCCGCAGCACGACATACCGCCGCCGATCACACGCCACTGAGGACAGAGGGACTGAAGTCAGCAGCAGCAGCCGCAGCAGGACACACCGCCGCCTGTAACCCGCCACTGAGGAGGGGGAGGGACAGAGGTCAGATACAAACACTGACAGCAGCCGCAGCACGACATACCGCCGCCGATCACACGCCACTGAGGGACAGATCAGTCAATAGAGTCAGACAGCAGATACAGACACAGATACTGCGGCCACACACAGCAGGGCATGCCGTCGCCGATCACACGCCACACCGGGTCAAATGGGGATCAGTGGACGTAGACCGGAGGTCGAGAGAATGCTAGCACTGAAACTGTGCATTTTCCCTGACCAAATGTTGAACTGATGAACCGAACGCAATGGAATAAGCTGCTCACGCTGACTTGGTCACCGTACTCAGCTTGCGAGCTGGACAGACATTATTGCAGACCGTTTCCACTGTTCGTTTACCGCGCTCAGTCAATAACTGTGCAGTTACCTTGGACTGTTTGCTGTGTTTGATGACGTCCATCAGGTCGGAGCGCAGCTGCTCCAGCTGGTGCAGTCCGATGCGCGGCACCACGTCCTTCCCCACCACCACAGACGTGATGAACTCCTTCGTGTACTCCACTGCCGGCATACTGCGGGGGAGAAAGGCGGCCGTCATAAGATAGGCCGGCGTGAGCAGGCTGACACACCACATAAGGATGGTAACTTGGTACCAGAACGGTCAATATGAATAGGTAGGCTCAGGCATCGAATTTGAAGTGGTCACGGCACGCTTGGTGTAGCATCAAAGGAATCGGTTTAACCAGATTGCGTGCTTATTTGATTATCGTTACGCGAATGTCGGCTTGGAGTTCCATCTGACTTCTGTCCCTCCACTCTCCGACGCTAAGCAGTATTCTGTTTTGGACACGTTCCAACTGATCAGATCAGTTAGCAGTAGACCTCTGACCCCGCTCTCTGACCCACCCTCTGACCTGAGCAGTCCGCCGGGCGGCGAGTAGGCGAAGCAGCGCAGCTCCGGGTACTGGTCGCGCAGCAGGATGGCCAGGATAGCGGCCGTGCCGGCGCCCAGCGAGTGGCCCACCAGCACCAGCCGGTAGCCGGCCGCCCCCGCCCCCGCGCCGGCCGCCGCCCGCGAGAAGGCGCGCTCCAGCAGCCGCTCAGAGGCCAGCTTGTCGCGGATGTAGCGGGCCGTCTGCACCATACCCTGAGGGGAGGCGTGGGGTGAGTGCCCACTCAGAGACCGTCCCCGCTCGTCATTGAGGGTGGACTCAAGAGTCTTACATGTCTCCACGCTCAGTTGGACGTTCAAACGCATTTAGTTCAACAGTTATCATGTTATCATACATACAACAGTTATCATATTAACTGCCCGATCGACCGGCACAGTAAAGCTGACAGCGCCAGGCCGAAAGCCGTGCATTACCCCGCCACTGGGTAAATGGCACTGCGAGCACTCAGCTCACCAATGCACACCGCTCGGCTCCGCCTAGCGCTCAAACCTCAAACCTGCCTCAATCGTCGCCTGCTGCAAAACCAGGCAGGGACGACTGCCAGCCAGAATCAACGGCATGGTAGTGGACGCATATGAGTGAGGTACTTGGCGACAGTTGCGCATTAAGAAGTTACGAGTATAGCCTGAACAGTTTTGGCGTAGGTCACGTACCCTGTGTCCGAGCCAGTCGTCCCGCAGAGGCGTGGTCGGAATCGGCTCGCCCTCACACTCGAGGTCTGTCACCACGTCCTGGGAAAACAGAACAGAGTCGGTGAGGGGCTGAACGTGGTCCGCCACTATACCATAATGACAGAGCAGGGTCGGTTAGGGGCGGGCCTGGTGCGTCATAATGCCCTCGGAGCAAAGCAAGGTCAGTGAGGGGCGGACCTGGCCCGTCACAATGTCCTACGATCAGGCTTTGGACAGCGAGGGGCTGGACCTAGACGTGGGGGTGTAATCACGTCCTGGGAACGGGGTTTGGGTTGCGAGGGGCTGCACGTGGTCAGTAACCACATCATGAGAACGCGGGGAGACATGTGTGAGGGGATTGTGGAGTGACGTGGACCAGCATCACCTATCACGGCCACATCCTGTGACGGCGATAAAAGAGCCGGGACAAAATGGCGGTCGTGACACAAAGTGGGTCGTACACCAACGACGGATAGAAAGATAAAAAGTAGACTCATATTTTATGAGGCGATAGACAAGTGACAACGTAAACGCATGATAAATCAACCTCGGATCTAGGTGCCAATTCATCCACCTCTCACCATCTTACATTTGTATACCTGGCGGGCATCCACTCACCGTTCATCTTTGTAAACATGAATGTTGACCACCCATCCCTAACCTTGACAAACATGTTGTCTGTGCGCCTCTCTTTACCTTTTTTGAGTGCGTGTCCTCCACCTTCGTGAATACGATGACCGTTCCGTCCACTCCAAAGTCCCCTCTCATATCTCACCTTATGTGGACATTGTGCCCTATTCTCTCACCTTGGTGGACATTGTTCCTCGGATGCAGACGATCACCGTACACCTCTGGTGATCCACGGCCACCATGAACGGCGTCTCGCCGACGTCCACGTGGTATGTGACGTACACCAGTTCGAGCTCGTCCAGCGGCGCCATCCGTTGGGTGGCCGCTGTGTTACAGAGGCAGCAGTTGTCCTCGACCACCTCGGCCGTGGTGGCCGGCCGCCGACAGCCGCCCCTGCGGGGTGAACGGAGCGGGTCAGAGGTGTGAGGGTGAGGGCAGAAAGCCATAGATAGGGGCGTACACGATACGAGCAGGGAGACAGGAAGCAGTAAGGACAACACGGTGTGAACTGTGAACGGTGTGCGTCAGTAACACTCAAATTAGGAACAGATGTAGCGCTATCTAAAGGAAGAGTAGATCAACCAGACAGAGTGCTAGGCAATAGAGCTCATCATACGGTATAAATGTGGCGCCCATCCGTCATAACTGGTCATCATACGCGCTCTAATGGCCTGATAAAGAGCGGCGCCGCTCGATTTGAGAGCCCCCGATTCAGGCCGGCGCTGACATCCGAATAGTCTATCAGGCCGCATGAATATGCATTCAGCAGAAAATCCAGTAAAGGCGTGATCAAGCATCCATGAAAGTCGGGCCTAATAAAACGCAACATCAGCTTTATGCATCATTATCGTCTCAATTCGATAAACAGATACTAATGCGGTCTGCCTAGATCAATAATTCTCTTCCATTCAGTCATGAGGGAGCTGGATGCGTCTCTACTGTTCAGCGGTGAACTCACTCACTTGAGGTAGGGGCAGAGCCGGCAGCAGCCCGTGCTGGAGTGCTGCATCATGAACACAGGCCAGCCGTAGATGGACATGGCCAGCCTGAGGAGACAGACGTGGTGACGTCAGGGCAGCGGTGACGTCATACACAGCATCCACCGACGAGCGGAGAGGTGTGACGTCATACATGGAGGAGACGGCGGCGCTGACGTCACCGCCTCCCGGGAGCCGCCCACTAGTAGCAGGCTTTGATCTCGTGGCTATGACGTGACACATTGAGCGGTGACGTCACACCGGCGCTGCAGCCGGGCCGGAGCTGGGCCCGGGCAAATCTCAGCCCGGGACGCTGAGATGCCTCGGCACGCACTATTCGAGCCCGTGTGTGTGCGTAAGCAGCGCTCGGTCGCCGGGGGCGGTGCGTGGGCGCGGGCCACGCCTGGCGCCGCTGACATTTGGCTGTGTGTGTTTGTGTGTGCCGGCCGCCTCTCTGTTATTGATTGGACGGCCACGAGTATTGACTGGCCGAAAAGGTCACACGATGAGTTACAGCGGATAGACCAAGAGCGAAAAAACAAGCCCCGAAGAAATAGTCGCAGGGAAAACACAACCAGACCATATTGTTATCCGCTCTTGTGCGGCCGTGTTTCCGATTCTGGCTCTATCCCACCATTCATATGGTGGATAAGACAAAAAATGTGAATGGGAACGCGATAAAAAGACGCCCAATAGCAAATCGTCACAGAACGGCGCACACTGTCAGCAATCGTTTGTTGTGCCAATGCAGGCTGCTTTGCTGGCTGTGTGTCTGTGCGGCTCCTACATTTACCGCTAGTTCATGAGAACGAATGCGCAGTGCTTAGGCACCCGCCGGAGTACAGGTCAGCGCAGATGAGGCGGACTGATAACGGATCTGTTACCTTAGCGGGGTGCTTGACTGGTGCGAGACTGGCCGGGTTTGTCCTCCGCAGTCCCCTCCCGCCTGTCCACCCTCCCAGCCGGTAATATACTACCTCGCGACCGCTCGTCACTGTCCACATCAATAGCGCCACTCGGCGGCCTGTGATTTACGTCCTGTATACCAACCCGGGTCTGCCCCACTATATCACAGGGACGCTGCTCCTGAGCGGCATTGTGTCGGTAACGATACTCAAACACATTGATCTCTACCGGTGGTGACACTAATTCATTACTAACGTCGAACAACATAGAGTAGAGCCTAGAGGGAACCTCAAAACGAGATCGAGTAAAGAGTTGGTGAGCCGATCGCACCAGTCACTGACCTCATGTAGTGAGTTTTCTCCTGGAACCGGGACAGAACAGCGCGTTGGTGAGCGGATCGCGGCAGTCACTGACCTCATGTAGTGGATGACGTCCTTGAAGAAGGCCAACTGGTCGGGCTGGTTCAGCGCCAGGAACGTCGAGGCCGGCGTCACCTTCACACCCGACAGAAACTCGTATGTGTCATTCGAGTTCTGTGGGAACGGGCCAGGTCAGGTCAAGTCAGGTCAGTCATCGCCCGCGACAAAACCTCCTACGTGTCGCTATAGTTCTTTGGACACGGGTCGGGTCAGGCCAGTATTCCCGACAGAAACTAATGCATGTCGTTAGAGTTCTGTGAATCAGGTCAGGTCAAGTCAGGTTGCTTTACCCTCGAGAGAAACTCGCACGTGTCGTTAGACACGGGGCAGGTCAGGCCGGGTCATCTAAGCTCAATCAAGGGAATGCCGCAGTTCGACAGTCAGACGCCGCTAACCAAGTTGCCATAAGACCGCAAGCGCACACTTCCTTTTTATAAAATAAACGAGCGAAGTACTCATCACTGTTCATCTTGCTCAGAATAAGTGTCAGACGACAGACGTTATTTTTGTGAGGCCCAAACAAGCGAGTCCACTCTTTGTCCATCGGGAAAAAGACGAAAACGAATGCCCTAGCCCAAGCAGATTTTAAAGCGTTGGGTCACGTTTTCACTGTTTTCTCAGTCCAACACCAGAATACAAAAGACTGTTGTGGCACGATGATATTACATGACCCTATAATTCACAGCGTGACCGATCGCCATACCTAGCCTCACTCCAACAAGGCAGCATAATTCCCTTGATAATCCCTCCCTCCCTTCACACCCTGCCAGAGGTACCACCCCGTCACTCGCCAGTGTACCGTCCCACCGTCAGTCGTCAGTGGACGCGTATGACACCCCCATCAGTCGGCACCGTGCAGCGCGACGTCCTAACAGCGACCGAGGAGACGCCACGGGTGCCAACTCCGCCCGTCGAGCCGCCCACTCAGGGCGGGGGCGGGGGCGGTGATGACACGACACTACACTGTCGGCTGGAGGCGGCAGCGGCGGCTGAGAATTGGCCACTCTCGGAGCAGATCCGGGTGAGACGGCGACTTCGCCAAAACTTCCCACTGAGCGGCAGGTCAGCGGCCAAGGGGGCCAATCAAAACCGTCAGCGGCCTACAAGAGGCTGGCGACCCACTATCGCCACTGAGTCTGAGAGTCTGAGAGGCGTCACTAGCGCGGCATCGACAGACAAGCCTGTGAGGCTCAGTAGCGGCACTACCGCGGCATCGACAGACAGACAGACAGCTGGCAGTGCGCCTCGCGTCTCGCTCCTCGAGACCGAAATACGCACCGCCCGTCAGATTTTGCACCGAGCGACGGCACGAGGATCCGGAGAGCCGCGGAAAGATGCTAGGAGCAGCAGAGAAATGCCGGTCAGGTGGAATAACACGCACCGGCAGAGCCGCACAGTTTGAGAAAAATAGCGCATGCAGCTCACTGACACAACGATATAAGCCGCCCCGCCGTAAAGTGCCACTTGGAAGACAAGGCGACTGAGGGTGGCCGCACACGCACAACTCGTCTAGATATTCGGACGACTGACAGCAACTTTAGGGGCAGAGTAGAGATATTCTAGAGATAACAACTTCCCGTGGAGCGGAGTGACGTGAGTTCCAGAGATAGGGACGGAGAGCTCCATCCCTATCTAAGATGTCAGTGTCCCGCGGAGTGCGGGGACAACGAGCATTTGTCCGGTGTTCCGGGGGAGGAGCCGGAAGCGCCGGCGGCTGCCGTTTACAGCACCCCCGATTTTGGCCGCTGATAATGGCCCGCTAACTGCCGACCACCCATCGCTGACGTCATACGGTCAGTGACGTCACGATCTGACCTCGGCCGGAGCGCGGCAGCTTAAATAACCGACCCGGATCGGCGGCGAACGGCCATTTTTCACGGCGCCTTCACGACCGGCGTTCATGGCTCGTGTTGTGCTTCATTGGCCGCGTCAGTCGGGGAGAGTAACGCAGATGGAGAGGGTAGGCGTCCGGTGATCCTAATCAGACGTAATGCCAATGTAATCCACCCACTCTTCGTTAACGTTACTGACTTAGCGTTAGACAGAATTACAAGCGACGGTCATTGGTTTATCCGGCCGGCCATGAGCGCTGATATAACTATTCCGTACGCAGCGCCGTTAATAACTCGCACACACGATGTCGTAACGTTTGCTGAACTGGTCAAGGACGGCGCGCCCAGCGCAATGCCAGCCGGCGATAAATGCGTCCATTTGGGCGCCGTCGACCCGAGCTGGAGCGCCGATATACGGAGCGGCAGCCGTATTCAATTCCGACGCCGACAATCAGCGCCGCTAAATCCGGGATGTCAATAGGGAGCCGGGCGCACCGGCTCAGCCGGGGACTGTCCCAGCGGGCCCCCGCTTAAAGAATACAGTCGCAAAGTCGGGCTGAGAAACGGCCTCCCAATCTACATCTGAGCGCCCTGAATACATTACCGGCACTGGTAATCTAATCAGCCCATTGCGTCTGTTCCAGCTATCCCATCTCCTCAGGCAACGCTAAGAACACTAAGTGAGGAGACACATTTAGTCTCTACACTGTGCTGAAGAAGCGGCTCACCGATTTGACGATGTTGTTCCTCTCGAGTTTCTGGACGCGCCGCAGCAGCACCAGGCCGGCGATGATGTCCGAGGGCACTACGTCCAGGTCGCGGAAGAACTCGGACAGAAGCTGAGCGATATCGGCGAACGAGTTCTGCAGGAGGGCAGGGCAGGTCACAGCCAAGCGGATGTGGTGAGGAGAGGGTCTGATTTACTCCACGGTGATGACAGCGGCTGCGGAGGCGTGCAAAGGCGCCGCCATCCGTCGGCACGGGGATCATGATGATGTATGGGGGAGGGAGGGGTGCGTTACCGCTACATCTCAGCAGCCAGAACCGGGCCGGGCGCCAGTGAGGCCCCTGATGACAGGGCTGCGATTAAGCCACCCGGGGTCAACGGGTATGTAAGACACAACCATCAGACACGGACACAAACATACAGACACACAGGGTAACTTTTAAAGGGGGGAAAAGGGGAATTTCCCCCTTCGAAAATTCCGCTCCCCCTTTCAAATTGTGCGTGAACGGCTAGGGAGGGAAGGAGGAATTTCCCCCTTTCAAATTTATTTTTGAGCCCGTTTTCAATCAATTCGCTACTCAGATTCTATAATCATCGTTGATTAGACTCTAGTCATCAATCAACGTTGCTGGCGCTTAGATAATTTTCAATTTGAGGTTCCATCCAACCATTTTACGTTCAGTGCAGCGGGAACTCCAGATTTGACCCGATACCGATCGGATGGTCGGTGGGACCGTCTCTTGTCTTGTCTCTTCTGTCTCTTTGCAATCACTGACATATCGCTACAGGCGTCGGCGTAGAAACCGGCGGGAGACGGGGGTCATGACCTCTCCGAACCAAGGGTCTTCCTTTGAACTTCAATCCTTCAAGGTCCTTCAATCAGTCTTGGCCTAGCAAAAATAGTCACGTGTTAACCTCTCTCTATTTAGAAAGGCGCTTCTTGGTGTTTGGCCAGGGTTGATACTACTGATTGACATTTGCAAGGGCGCAGTCAAGTTGGGACCTCCCCCGCCCCTTACCATCACCGTTCCATGCTTCTATCCTCAGGAAACTGAAATCCTTCTCCTCCACGCCGCAACCCCCCTCCGGGCTGGACAGGCAACTTTATCTCATGCGGGCTGCTCCCTTGGAGCGGCACCGCTGCTCCCGAGGGAGCGCACCCCGTAGCCGGGTGCAGTGAGTGCCTTGGGGCTGGGTGGCCTGTCCTCTGGACGGGCTCAGCCCCAGCGACTCACTAGGGTGCCTGCCCAGACTAATGTCTCCCCCAATATCCTATCATCCTCCCGGCTCTGAAATGGTCTTAATGGACCGAAAGGGCCTAACCCAACAAAACAAAACAAAAGCCCCTTACCGCCAAGGTAGGTATCTACGTATATCTTTTAGCTAATTTTTTTTTTGCAACATAACAATATAAAAGGGCCAGAATCCGGGGAGAAAGTAGGATTTGGGGTTAGGTAAGGTTCTGCAGGCGCCATCCTAACAAAAACCTAATGGCATTGGGCCCCCCTTTCAGATGCCCCTGGATCCGCCCTTACCCCGAACTTTATTCCCCCTCTCGACTTTTCCTGTAAAAGTAGGACCCTGCACACACAAGAACCCTTCGATATGTGTGTCGATAAGCGACAGCGCGTAAGTTTTTCTTACTGACTAGATGCGAGCCTTCGCTCGTCCGGTTCCTATCAATTTCTATGTTCAATGTAAACTGACAAATATTCTGTATTTACCTGGTTTCGGTCCGACCGGTCCATACAGCAGAAGAGCATCCGACACCGGTTATCCCACGAGTCGCGGTAGGCCCGCAGCACCTTCCTAAGGACACGAGGGGAAGGGGTAATTGGCAATGCTACATGCGTGTCACCTGCTTATCTGAATTATACCAACTAACTTTGCTCTCATGACACATGATGCATTTCTGCCAACTCATTCATATACAAGTACGGGTAGGGACACTCAGTTGTTGACAGATCGAAGAGAAGGACAGAAAGATCGACGCGAAGAACGACTGCAGCGCGAAAGCCAAGCCGGAGATAAGGTCGGACGAGCTGACGCTGGCACTCTGTAATCATCGTTCATGTGTGTTTGGGCGTCGGGGGCGGCCAGCTCAAAGGCCAGGACACAAACAGCCCAGCAGTTATGGTGCTGTGAAACAAAACACAGCGACTAGCGGAGCGGCGCCGACGGCAGGTTGGGCTCAGGTAGATACACGACGGACCGGTGTCAGAATGGCAGGGGCGGCGGGGACGACCGGAAACACTCAGAATGAATGAAAGGGAAATATGTCAGCGCGGTTAAAAATTGCATAAGGATTAAGGACTACCAGTCTTCATGGATATACAATTTACTAAGCACATAGCAGCCTGGAGCATCATGGCATTTCGCTGTAATGAAGCACAAAGTTCCGTCCATTGGCCTCAAGACGTCCTGCTTTAGGACGACGCGTGCCTATGCATAGTCTACATGCTGAGCATTGACAAGGTATTTCAGTTCTATTGATACTAATCTAGTCTCTCAGCCACTGACCGTTGCCGCCAGTTTCTGTGATGGCTGCCGGACCGTTTGTACTGATACTTTTTCTGGCCGTCCTTCATCGTGCGCTGGTAGTTTTTCATTTTGACCCAAGACCGGCCGGCAGGGTCGAACGTACACCACACCATGATAAAGGCGCTCGTGACGGAGATCCAGTTACAGATGACGGCGCCTGCAGCGACAATCAATCGGTCACAGGCCACATACCTAGGTCACCTGTGGTGTCATTAGTGACACAGCCACAGGTCACGGGCGGCGCCCATCCGCGGTCATCAGAGGCACGGGTAACGGGTCAGTGGCATCGGCGGGGACCCAAAAGTGCCAATGGCAACAGGTTATCGGATCGTCAACGCTGCATGCAACGTTGGCGACCAACAGTTGTCAGGTGTGCAGCGCAAGCAACAGGTCATAAGTTCATCGGGTGAACAAAAAGTCTGATCACAAACCTAAGCACACTGGCAGGACAATAACAAAGACAAATATAACTACAAACATATTCGGTAGACCCATAGGTATCTAACAAATGACAAAGAAACACAGGAAGCAGACCCAGACAATGTGCAAACGTCAAAGTTTAGACGCAGACAGTTTCCAGACAACGGTAATTCACTATTGGCATCATAACGTTGTAAAATAAGAATGGAAACACGGGAAACACCTCACTTTGCCGCCAGCCCTAACATCATCGCTTGCCATTCCTCAGCGGACTCGCCCTGACCTACCGTCTAGCACCATTACGGAGTCGACCAAAATAGGACGACATTAAATGACCCACTATAGCGGCACACATATGAAGCGTCCCAAACAGCTTGTCTTTATATTGCATCATTGACATTTACAAAATGCCGGCCTACTTCGCCAGTTTGTCATCAGGTCGGGTGGCCTTTCGGTCCGGGGGCGACACAGCGCCGGCCAAACACGGTTAGCGGCGTGTGATGAGCCGGGCGGAGCGCGGCGTATGATTGGCCGGAGATGGACCGGCGGCGGACGGTGTGGGGGTGGGCCGGGGGGGGGGGGCGTCAGTTCCGCCGGGACCACCCCGTGGACGCGGCATGGCACGGCAGACAATACTGCGACGAAAGGGGACGGGGGAGGGGGGGGGTAGGGACGAGACGAACGTGACGGGATGGAACTGTCGCCGTCTGCGACCGAGCCGAACCGTGCGGCGATTCCGTGTGAATTGAAGTTCAAGAGGTTCATTACTTCATACCACAGGGCCGGTCCTTATACGAATATGTAAGAACTAAAACCATCCGCACAGGAAATCCGTATAGGCACTCGTGTAGTCAGTCTGTAAGGTTGTTTCATCTGGTCAGTAGACTAAAACACTGGTTCGCAGCGCCAACCCGCACAGCTCGCTGGTAACCATCAGCCGGTGATCAGTAGCTGGGGCATTCCAGGACGATTCATCAGGTGCATAACACCCGACCCCCTCAGATTTGCTTCTAAATTGCTGTACAGGGTTATTCTGTGCCCAGAAGCCGAATCTGAAATTGTCAGACCCGTAGAAGCAACAGTTTTTGAGTTATAGCATTGGGAAATTTTGGAAAGTTAAAAAACATCATTGTATTTTAGTAGCTTTATCTCCTCGAAAACTTTTATTAAACTATAAAAATTATTCATATTTGAACTCGCCACATCACAAGCTGTCTGATGGTATGCAAAATTTTTCAAAATTTTGAATTTTTAATTTTCCGAAAATTGTTCAAAAATTTATTTCAAATTTTTCGAAGTGTGGCCAGTTAAATAAAATTTATTTTTTGAGTTTTTATTAATGCTTAGGGTATTGGGAAAGTATATTGTGAAGATTGGAGATAGGTGTTTTTTATAAATATTTTATTTTATTTTTTTTTTACTTTCTCCATGTAAATATACCATTTTGCTTTGATATGGTGCCGACGGTGCTATCTCGGGAACGGATGATTATAGCGCGCCGGACGAGGCGGCAATGGAAAGATCTCAACGAGTTGGATCTAGACATTGTCCGAATGTTGTTCTTAAAGGTCACGGGTCAGGTCAAGGTCAGGTCAAAGACCAAAATTCCAGGTTCTCATTCCCCGGCTGCTCCTGAGGCACTTTCATAATGATGAAGCGATGTGAAAATCGCACAGCATGCGTCCAACATATTTATAAAGGCGGTGAATCAGTAAATATGCAATCACAAGGTGAGGTCAAGGTCAAAATCAGGTCACGAAAGGTCATGATGAATAAACAGGGATTAGGAACATGCGACACATGTTTTATGGGTTATTTTCCTATTCCAAGTCAATGGTGATGGGTATTTGACCATTCGGGACCAAATCAGGTCAGATTAGGGCAAGGCCAAGATTAGGTCAGATCGACCACGCAGTATGTGACACCGAGAATGAAGAATGCATGACGGGAATGTGTCAGGATTGCCCTGGCGAGGCTGGTGTTGACACGTTCTTGAGCCTCGTCCTCCACGACGAGGAGTGTGTGACCATGCACCATATGTATAAACAGTGGGTTAGCACCGACCGATGTGAGCTTATTGATGTGCGAAAGAACTGGGATGATTTCATTCACGATCTATCTGTGTCAGTGGTGAAGCTCACCAACCATCACTATGTAGCAATCCGACAGAGTAGGGCATTTAAGGAGTGTAAAGAAAGTGTTGTGGAGGGAGAGGCCGTTGTCGTTGGGGACTTCAGTGAGAACTATACGTTCGTCATACAGGATGAGGTGCAGAGTCATCACTGGGACGCGCCACAATGCACCGTTCACCCGTTCGTGGTGTACTGGAGGGAGAATGGAGAGGGACAGCACCAGAGCTTCTGCATTATCTCAGATAATCTAAAGCACAACACGACCGCTGTCCAATGCCCATGCTTTCCAAAAGGCTCTGATTCCACGACTGAAGGAAAAAATTCCGTCTTTGACTAAAATCAGATACTTTTCAGACGGCTCAGCAGCACAGTACAAAAACCGCTTCAACTTTTCAAATATCTGCGCTCACAAAAGTGACTTTGGGCTAGACTGCGACTGGCAATTTTTTGCCACCTCGCACGGGAAAGGCGCATGTGACGGCGTGGGAGGCACCGTGAAGAGAGCGACCGCTCTCGAGAGTCTACGCAGGCCCACAAGGGAGCAAATCACAAACGCGACCGAAATGTTTGAGTTTTTAAGTGACAAATTCGAAACTACAGCGAACTTTGTATTCGTGTCGAGGGTCGAAGTCGAAAAAGCTGCAGAACACCTCAAGGAGCGTTTCAGCAAAGCGGTGGCAGTGAAAGGCACGCAGAGTCTGCACTGTTTTATTCCGGTCAACCACGAGACACTGCGAGTCTCAAAGTTGTCAGGGGGACCAGGCCGGCTGGTGAAAGTGCACCGCAGTAGGGCACCGAAAAGACGAAAGTGAGCCCGCGTAGAATTCCTAGCACCCCTGCCGTGTGTCTGTATGGTGGCTGTCTGTGCACTGTATTGTTGGTGATGTGTGCCCAATACATTTCAACGAGCTGATCACCAAAATGTGTGTTGTATTTCCTTCGTTGAACAAGGGATTGGTTGACCTGACCGTGACCTGACCTGAACTGACCTGATTTTGTCCCGAATCGTCAAATGCCCATCAACATTGACTTTGAATTGGAAAATAACCCATAAAACATATGTCGCATGCACATTGCACATAATCCCTTTTTATTCATCATGACCTTTCGTGACCTGACCTTGACCTGACCCGTGACCTTTAAGAACAACATTCGGACAATGTCTAGATCCATCTTGTTGAGATCTTTCCATTGCCGCCTCGTCCGGCGCGCTACGATCATCCGTTCCCGAGATAGCACCGTCGGCACCATATCAGAACAAAATGGTATATTTACATGGAGAAAGTAAAAAAATAAATAAAATATTTATAAAAAATACCTATCTCCAATTTTCACAATATAGTTTCCCAATACCCTAAGCATTAATAAAAGCTAAAAAATAAATTTTATTTAACTGGCCACACTTTGAAAAATTTGAAAGAAATTTTTAACAATTTTTTGAAAATTAAAAATTCAATATTTTGAAAAAATTTGCATACCATCTGAAAGCTTGTGATGTGGCGAGTTCAAATATGTATAATTTTTATAGTTTAAAAAAAGTTTTCGATTAGATATAGCTACTAAAATACAATGATGTTTTTTAACTTTCCAAAACTTCCCAATGTTATAACTCAAAAACCGTTGCTCCTACAGGTCTAAAAATCTCAGATTCGGCTTCTGGGCACAGAATAACCCTATACAGCAATTTTGAAGAAAATCTGAGGGGTAGGGTGTTAATTTGCACCCATGAGCTGTTGAATCGTCCTGGAATTCCCCAGCTACCACCCGCCGAGTGCTCTGTTCCCTGTTCTGTGAACGGTCGGCAGACCCGTCCCTCGTTCAGCTCGGTACGACCACCACGGGGGCCGTGGGAAGGCGTGCGCGCCGCTCTGTACCAACTCCAGACAGCGGCCCGACAGCGCCCCGACAGCAGCCCAGACGGCCCGCTCCGAGCCAAACGACCTAACGGGTGTCTACTAATTTTTGGCACAAAACTAAATGTCTCATAAATCACATATATTTTGCTCAAACGTCACCAAACTTCACACATGGTTGGAAGCACTCATACTTAACGCTATCTGATCAGTGCAGGCTGCTGTTGACTCCTCGTCGCTCGGCACGGCGCACGCGCTCCGGGACCCTCTCCATCATGGTGCGCGGCACCTCCTCTCGGATCGAACGAAGAACCCTTTGAATACGGTTCTTCAGCTGGACTTCTGATGCCGCTCTCCATCCGCCCTTGTAAACTTCCTGCTTGACGATGCCCCAGAAGTCCTCGATGGGGCGCAGCTGAGGCACGCAGGGCGGGTTTTCATCATGCGCAACAAACGGCAACCCAGCCTCCTCCAGAAGGGTGACCGTTTTCTTGGCATAGTGGGCCGCTGCCAGGTCTGGCCAAAAGATAAACCCACCATGAGGGTACTGTCCTCTCAAAAATGGGAAACGTTTCTTCTGGAGACACTCTTGGCGGTAGAAGTCGCCCCCTACGTTGGTGCGGCTCGGGCAGATGACAGGGTTTGACACCCCCCTGGGAGAGATCGCCACCCAGACGAGAAGCTTTCTCGGGAACTTTCCCACAGGCTGGAATCTGACGTCATCCGGTTCGTCTCCTCCAGGGCCAGCGTAGAAGCCGGAGTTTGCGGGCATATCACTTCCTGAGAACGTAAAATAGCTCTCATCATCCATGACCACCTCCAGTTCGGCGTTCCTCGAGAACGACCCACGGGCCAGCCGTCTTATCCGGGTCTTCTGCCGCTTTTCTTGCTCCGGAGTGACCTCGGGCACCTTGATCCTTTTCTTATACTTTATGTTGTTATCATGAAGGATTTTCGCCACATACTGATGAGATACGCCAAAACGCCGGGCCAGCACGCGCAGGGATGTTCCAACGCGTCCCTTGGCGGCATTCAAAAGAAGGCGCTTCTTCTGGGGCCCAAGTTTGGAGGGTTTTGCGCCAGCTTTCCCTTTACCGGCGTGCTTACTGCTACCCCTAGTCTCAATGTTCTTTAATATACGGTAGGCAGTTCTTCTCGACACTCCTGCTACCTCCAGCCGTGACACAAGCTCGCTTTTTGGTAGGAAATGGTGTTCTTTGGCAAAATCGGCCACAAATTCACGAACCTGCGTTTTAGTCAAAGTCTCCATGATAAGTGAATATTGCACGAAAATAAAATGAAAATGTTGCGGCGCGTGCACAATTGTTAGGTCTTCATAATGCAAAGAATTTCAGTGACATTGGGTGACGTTAGCGTAAATAAAAATAAATCAAACTTTTGTGCCAAAAATTAGTAGACACCCGTTACAGCGCCGGCAATGGACGCTCCGACTCTCACCCGATTCACTCTGTATGCAACTGCAAATGAAGGGAACTGGGTAACCGGAGCAGACTGTGAATGTAACGCCCGGTCGGCACCCTCCCTCCCATGGCTCGAGACCGCAGATCACAGTCTGGGCTAACGCATACTGCATGATGACCCGGGGCCGCCCCCATATTTCCCAAGAGGCAATATCCGTGACCTTTAAATCTGCGTGCCGTGTGTGGAGGACTGTAGTGGCGTCAGAGGCGGCGCCCAGCGTTCAGAGTAAATAGGACGGCGGGATCACCAAACAGAGCCCGGAACGTTTTATCGGATACAGCCAGCGCAGCGTGAGATAGGAAGAATTCAAGGCCACTGATTTTGCATTCCCAGTATTGACGCAGGAGCGACCGATGATAGAGGGAATTTTAGACACAGTCGCGTTTTTGTATTCTGTGTTTTTTTCTTACATCAATTATAACTTTGGGTGACGTTATCTGCATGAATATTGGGTGAGGTTATAATCGTTCAAATAACCTTAACTCGACACGTTGGCCAATTCTTATGAACAGAACGCCAAGATAATTAGCGGGTATCGAGGGGTCACGTCAATCCGTGAGATATCTGTCCCGCCTGATCATAGCGACTGGCCGTGTTGATAGAGCATTAGGCGCCTAATATCGAATTATGCGTTTATTTCTGATGGACGCGATGGTCACGCTGCAGCACTGCTGCACGTTCCCAGTTCGCACGGCGCCTGCGGTCTCACCTATGAGAGCCTCCTTGGCGGTGGGCGCCTGACACGAGTGGTAGTACTTGACCAGCCAGATGACACCCACCACCAGCCAGGCCATCTCGACCACCATCACACCTGGAAACAGGCACACAGACACAGGAATTTAGATATAGTCATCTCCACCACATCACACCTGGAAACAGGCACACAGATGGAGGACTTCAGATACGGTGACATAGTCACAGAACAGACGTTACGGATAGAAACATTACAACATGAGCGGGTAGTAGGGTACTAAAAACTCCCTTCGTAAGAAATGTTGCATGAGTGTACACTAAATAAAGGTATGAATGATCGGCACTTGGTGGCCAAAAAATCGCGAATCATCCGACAACAGACAACCGCACCCTCATCGCAGCAGCATGACAGATCTAACAGATCAACATAACAGATGGCTTCACTAACAGTTCGACGTGACCAGGGTACCAGAATTCAGGCAAATTCACGTTCAAACACCAGAGCTAGAGAACACATTCAGACGGAGGGCCTGTGACCCGTTCTGGCCGGTGCTACCCAGCTGCCTCTCTAAATCCTCTGCGGGAGGTAACAACGACAACTCGAAACGTCAGCCTCTGACGCTGCAGCAGCCCGTCCTTGAGCTGAACGACGCCAGCAGAGCACCCCGGTCCCATGTACGCCCATCTGAGTAGCGGGAACGGCAAGCCAGACGACTCGGAGTCGGATCGGGTCGGTCAGAGGACGGGCTCAGCGCCGAGGTATGACAACAGTTTGTTGCAACATCAGTTTGATTCGAATTCCGTCTACGGTCTATCAGCCTCTGCTTCGGGTAACAACATACCCTGTCTCGTCACGAGTCATGTCACGAGGTGTCAGAGATCACATCACAGGTTGTCACGGATCACATAATGATCATTGATCAGTCACCTGTCAAATCGTTCCGTCCATCCACCACTGTGAACTCCGGCCGTCTGGCGGCCATGACCGTGACATAACCGTGACACGGCAGAACGACAGTAACGTGACGAAGCCTGGGGCGTGACGGAGGAGGCGGTCAGCCCGTCTCATTTCTCACCCGTAGCCGTAACACGACAGGGAACAGAGTAGCACCGGAACCGCTGGAGACTAAATGAACATCCACTCGGGAAGAAAAATGTGCATCTATTTGCAGCTGTCTGAAATGGACCACGATACAAGGGGACGTAACAAGCTGACCGGAAATTAAATGCAAGTCTACGAAGGCTCGGGCTCTGGAAGTTGCCTTGTAGATCGTTAAGTTTATTGGATGAAGTGAAGAGCAAGCGAACGTGAGCCTAGAAATAAAGCTCACGGAAGAGCGGGCCAACGCTTGTTGATGCGTGAGACCGCGAACTCAAGGTAAGGTCGATATCAGAGAATCGTAAATAAATGATAGGTTATCCAGGCCGCTAAGCCCCTCATGTGTTTCCTGAGATTAGTGCTCAGCATTGAGGCCGCTCGCCGGCGGACACAAGGCCTCATTTCTTCTGCCATCAGACGGCGTTTCGCGGGTCTCCTCTGAAGTCATGCCGGCGGATGGAGTGAGCTGACCAGCTATGCATCGTAAGGGCATGAGCTGATGCATGCGTCGCAGGCGATAAAGATGCAGCAGCGCCGACATCCAGTGTCATAAAGGCAAGAGCTCATCCACACGAACACACCCTCCTTCCTCAGCTCCAAGCACGGGTCCCAGGTGAACGCCCCGCCCGCCGCCGACGCCCCGGGACTCACGTTCACACCCACCCGCCGTCACGACTCGGCCGTACAGCACCGCCGACCGCGGAGGAGGCGGCACTTCAAGGTCAGACGACCGCCCCTGCGCTGAATGCCTCTTTAGCGGGCCATGAGCCGACAAGGCCACGACACGCCTCCATCAGCGGAAGATAGGCGCTCTCAGGCGTGATGTGCCCCCAGCTAGACGGAAATAACGTCCAGCGTAGATGCGCAAAAACAGGGAAGTATCGTGGAGAAAATATGCCATCGGGTCAGGGCACATCCGGATATATAAATAACCCAAGGAGACATCTCCGCGAAGTGCAGCCTGAGGAAGCGTAGTACGCGCTTCTGACAGCAGTCTCCGGCGTCCAGAACGCCTCTCGCGGTTCAATCGGCCGTGATAAGCGCTGATTCGCCGGCCGCCTTCGCGTCTGCCAGCCGCCGTCCGTCGCCTTTTTGTGGTGGAACAGACAGGCGGATGTCATCCACGCCCCTCCGCGCCACAGCAGCGCCCGAGTGCTCCGACACGCCTCAATTGGGGCCCAGAACGTCCGAAATTAACAAGAAAGAAAGAAAGAAATGAAATAAAGAAGCGAAGTGTGGGTGCGAAAGTCAGGAAACGTAGCAAGGAAAAAAACATAAAATTGAATTTCCCTAAAAACGCTCCGTCCGCTAAGACGGTTATCACTTGTCCCGACCTTCGGATCGCCATAATCACTTACAGGGCCCATTAACGTCCGCAATGTTACATGCACGACCACTTTCCGTTCCAAATTATCGGCACTGATCGGGCTCGACACACGAGCGCTGCAATGGAATAGAACACTTCATGAAGGTGTTGCACAGCGGTATGCAAATGTAGCTCGGTACCTGTTCTGAGCCCAGCCGGCTCGACTCTCAATCTCTCCGGACGCCCGGCTGAATGTCGGTGGGAGGTTTAGTTATATGTGCCGAGCCACTGCTCAGGTGAACCACGACGGTTCACCTGAGGTCGAGGCCGTAGCCACTAAATGAATTAGCACCCCGCCCGCAGCGGCCGCCGTCTGCCGAGGTCTGCAATGATCAGTGCGTAGCGCTGACCCCCAGCCGTGGCAGCGCCCTCCATGGCTGTCCCCAACGGCCGCGCAGTCCCGTACTAAAGCTGTCTTACAGAACCGGGCCGGGCCGGGCCGATCTTGGCCGCGCCGCACTGACCTCGGCACTGCACTGCCGGCAGACGGCCCGGCCTGGCCCGACATTGACCCGGGGCCGTGTGCAGGTGCTGGGAACCGGGCCGGTGCGGCCGGCGAGAGCACCTCGACGAGCGACCGAGCGGCGCCTCTCCCAGGCCGGCGGGGCCTCCTTCCGATACTGAGACTTTGTGAGCGGGGCCTGCCTGCAGTCTGAAGGGTATATACAGAGCGACGAGGAGGCACTTCCTGACTGACACTCAGATAATGGGTCTAATGTTGCAGGACATACGACGGCAAAAGAAAGAAAACGGCAAAAGAGGTTCCACGACAAATCGACAAGTGCCCTGCACCCTCATGCTTTATTTTTTGCTTAAAATTGGTCTAATGGGTTGTGATGGGCGGGGAAGCCAGCTGTGGCAAGGATTTTCTTCTTCGAACAACGGTGTCCGAGATATAGCCTCGGGCAATTCCTGGATGTCGCGCTGCAGCCCTATGTTTGGCGGCCTATAACTCAAAAACTATTGATTTTCTACGATAAAACTTTATATGGTTCAACTCACAATCAACCAACAAACATTTTGGCTATCTTGGATTTTCAATTTTTGAAAATTTTGATCACATGACCTTTTGACCTATTTTTCGAAGAGTGGCCTTGATATTTTCCCCACTGAAAGTTGCAATTTTGTCTGATGACGATTAAAGCCTTATCAATTGTTATTCATATGCGAAAATAAAAAAGTGGATATCGCCCTGCGTTGACCTCAGGTCAGGTCATTTTTATGACCTGTCCATTATTACGAGCGGGAGCGACAGCGAGATCTCGAGAATAAAGCAAGATAGCGACAAGCGGTAAACGGTGCAGGGTACAAATGGATAAGGTCTATAATTTTTACTGAGGTCATTTTCAGGTCAGGTCAAAGATGACGTCACAAGAGCAAAAAGGAAGTCAAAATTGCGGCACTACATATATATGAAGTTTTTCTCGAATAACTTTCAAGGTATCCCAGCTAAGAACAAACTAATATCACCATCGTGATCCTCTCGTCGATCCGCATCGAAACATATGTATGTTGACCTCGAAAGGTCGAAAGGTCAACATACATATGTTTCGATGCGGATCGACGAGAGGATCACGATGGTGCTATTAGTTTGTTCCTAGCTGGGATACCTTGAAAGTTATTCGAGAAAAACTTCATATATGTAGTGCCACAATTTTGACTTCCTTTTTGCTCCTGTGACGTCATCTTTGACCTGACCTGAAAATGACCTCAATAAAAATTATAGACCTTATCCGTGTGTACCCTGCACCGTTTACCACTTGTCGCTACCTTGCTTTATTCTCGAGATCTCGCTGTCGCTCCCGCTCGTCACGTGACCTAAGGTCAACTTCGAAAGGTGACCTTTCGACCTTTCGAGTACAACATACATATCTTTCGATGCGGATCGACGAGAGGATCACGATGGTGCTATTAGTTTGTTCCTAGCTGGGATACCTTGAAAGTTGTTCTAGAAAAACTTCATATATAAGTATGTAGTGCCGCAATTTTGACTTCCTTTTTGCTCCTGTGACGTCATCTTTGACCTGACCTGAAAATGACCTCAATAAAAATTATAGACCTTATCCATTTGTACCCTGCACCGTTTACCGCTTGTCGCTATCTTGCTTTATTCTCGAGATCTCGCTGTCGCTCCCGCTCGTAATAATGGGCAGGTCATAAAAATGACCTGACCTGAGGTCAACGCAGGGCGATATCCACTTTTTTATTTTCGCATATGAATGACAATTGATAAGGCTTTAATCGTCATCAGACAAAATTGCAACTTTCAGTGGGGAAAATATCAAGGTCACTCTTCGAAAAATAGGTCAAAAGGTCACGTGATCAAAATTTTCAAAAATTGAAAATCCGAGATAGCCAAAATGTTTGTTGGCTGATTGTGAGTTGAACCATATAAAGTTTTTATCGTAGAAAACCAATAGTTTCTGAGTTATAGGCCGCCAAACATAGGGCTGCAGCGCGACCTGCTGGAATTGCCCGAGGCTATATCCAGGAAACCGTTGTTCGAAGAAAAAAATCCTTGCCACAGCTGGCTTCCCCGCCCGTCACAACCCCTTACACCAGTTTTCAACGAAAAATAAAATATGAGGGTGCAAATTTAATTTTTTATTTGTCGATTCGTGGAACGCCCCAGAAGAGAAACTTCTTGCTTGCTAATGAGACTACAGTCAGCTTCAGAGAACGAATCCCGTATGTCCAGGACAGGCCAGCATCACTCGTCGGCAATGATCTAGCTCCGGAATATACCGTAGCTGGGAACACACACGACTAAATGATGCATGCTGATGTGTGTCACTATAGTGATCATTTGCCAGGCAGTTGCTGCATTTGACATATTGCCACGCATCGATCACTGAGGTACTTGTCGTTGACAATAGCGCAGCTGTGGGGACCGGCTGGTATGCCTGCCGTCCCTGTCGGTCGTGCACGGGTCACCAGTTCAGTGCGGTCCAGCTGTGTCCTGTTCTGTCCTGCACACGGCTCCCCGGTTCTTTCCGTCCGGCTGTTCACCTGTCCGATCCAGCTGTGTGTCCTGCCCAGTACTACGGGCAATTCTAACCCTGTCCGCCCGGCTCACCATCCTGTCCGACACAGCTGTGTGTCCTGCCAGGTGCTGAGAGGGCGAGCCCGACCGCACAGGTGACAGTGCAGCGTTATCACACCCACCCTACCGTTCATGCCGGAGCCGGAGGAATTATCCGGAGCGGCAGCCGCGGCTCCCGGCCAGTCACTCACCGAGTCGGATGTAGATGAGGTACTGCGTGGCCTCGCGTGGCGCCGTCTCCAGGATGGAGCCGCGCATGCTGACGCCGACAATGCACGCCTCCAGCAGGAGACATCCGCTGAGGATGATGAGGTAGCCGAGGATGTACTCCCACAGCTGGCTCTGACAGGGCACCTCCGAGCTCAGGTCGGACACGGCCAGCGCCACAGAAAGCACCGTCAGCCTGCCGAGAGGAGAAGTCTGGTCAGTCACAGCATCGTCAGCCCGCGCCCCGCAGTGAGGGGACAGGAGGGCAGGTCAGAGCACCGTCAGCCTGCAGCGAGGCAGGTCAGAGCAGGTCAATCACATTCAGCCTCCGAGAGGGCAGGACAGATTATGTAGATCAGGACGGTCGTGTCAGTCACAGACGGTCAGCGTCGCTGACAGCACCGTGAGCCTGCGCAGAGGTCAGGGCAGGCAGGTCAACTTGATGAATGGTTGGAGGGAGGATGGAGACAGTAAATCACGTAAAAAATTTCACCTCTTCCTAATCATATCCATCCCAACCCACCATAACCCGCAATCTGCAGAGACCATACTCCGCCCTAACCCACCGCCGTCTCTCAAGCACAGACCCCGCCCTAGCCCACCACCGTCTGCCGTCTCCAGTCGCGCACCTCGCCGGTGCAGCGATCGAACCAATTCCACAATGGCCTGTGTCGAGTGAGCACCCGGTGCGGAGCGGCGCGCCGCGGAGACCGGGGGGTGCCGGCCGAGTCAGACAGACGCCGGCCATTTTCAGTCGGCGGAGGGCGGCGCCGACAGGCTGACAGGGCCCGCGCGGAGTTCAGCGGGTCAGGTCAGTTCGCCTGTCGCCGTGATGGATCTAGTGGCACATCTTCCGGTCCAGCCGAGCTTTCAGGAGATGCGCCCCAAAGGCTAATGTGCGAGAGGGGATGTGCTATATGTTGTTATGGGACGCTTGGCTAAATGTGATGTGCTGCAGCACGGTGGGTGATATCGGATGTTCGTTCAGTCGGCCGCGTTTCATGCAATGTCGCATCAATAGAGATAATCTTGGTGAATGTACGCACATATGTAGAACTAGCGCACGATGAAAACGGTTCAACCACCATTCAACCGCTTCGATCTTATTCAGAAAAAAACGAGTAAATTGACGAGACTTCGTCCCAACCATCTGACGTTATGTTATCAATCGCATTTCCTACAGCAGCCGAAACTAAAGCTAAATTCCGCCTATCGACCCGTCGTACTGAGCTAAACGCGGTCCGCCCGTGCGCTCCTCGCAGCCGGAGCAGCGCTGCTGGAGCGCCGGCCGGTGCCGCCCGGTCCATTCCGCAGCCCTCGACTGCCGTTACCAGACGCCGCTGCGTGTGCAGTATGGGTCGACTCGGCCGGCGGCCAGCCATAAACTGCGACCGCCATTTATTTACAGTGCCATTATTAACAGTGTGCCAGGCAAACTTTGCGAGAAGTGCGTGTGTAACCAACTGTCAGCATACCTCGACCAGAATCACGTACTGTGCGAGAACCAGCATGGTTTTCGGATAGGACACTCGACGGAAACTGCATTGATCGACTCTATTAGTACTATTTTAGCTAACACAGAGGCTGGCCATGTAACTACTTTGCTAGCAGCTGATACATCTCGCGCCTTCGATAGTGTAGAACATGAGCGACTTTTAGTTAAATTGGGATGGTATGGTGTCAGTAGTCACTGGTTTGACGATTGGCTGCGCAACAGAACTCAGAAAATTCAGGGTAGCGGTGGTGGAGTGTTGCCGGTGACACATGGCGTAATTCAAGGGTCCCTTTTGGGCCCGAGGCTATTTTTGATTTTTACTAACGACCTGGGCACTCATTTTACTCACGGAAAACAAGTTACGTATGCTGATGACGTGCAATTTTTAGACTGTGATTCGGCCGAAAACCTGGCTTCTCTCAAACTGCGCGTTGAAAATACCCTCAAGGTGGCGCTGCAGTGGTTTACCCAAAACAGACTCAAAATTAATCCAAGCAAAACCGAACTTTTGATCATTAAGCCACCCAAGAAAAAGTGTGAATCTGACATGAAAATCACATTTGGAGACTGTGAAACTGAGCCCTCTTCATCTGCTAAAATTCTCGGAGTTGATATCGATTCTGCATTAACTTGGGAGAAACATGTGTCGCAGGTAACGCGCCGCTGCTACTATGTTCTCGTCGGTCTGTCCAAGTTGAGACACAAGATTTCGCTTGAAACTAAGAAGCTGCTGGTTGAGGCGTTAGTTTTCCCGCACATTATTTACTGCTGTACTGTGTGGGGAGGCTGTACTGCCTCCCAAAAGCACCGCATTCAGAAAGCGATCAACTTCGCTGTACGTGTCGTCACTGGACTGGGCCGACGGGAGCATGTGACCCCAGCTCTGCGAGCTCTGGGATGGGCGCGCTTCGAGGACATGTTGGCGAAGCGAGATGTGGCCCTCATCGATAGGCTGATCTCATCTGACGTGCCGCCGGCTCTAGCTCACATTGTGCAGCGCCGCTCGGACGTAACAGACCGGCGCACTCGGAGCGCATGTGGAGGCCAGCTCGAAGTCCCTCGTATCTCCACTGAGCGCGCCAGGCGCAGCTTCCCCCATAGAAGTGTGTGCACATGGAATCGAGAGATGGCCTCCAAGTGCATCGTGGGACATAGCTGAACCTGACTGTCAATACTTTTAACAATCTTAACCGTATTCACGTTTTTAACATTTATATTTTCATTGTGTTGTTCTTACCGATAGTGTATTTTACTGCGTTTGTATTATGTATGACGAGAGGCCTGAAAAGCCATTTACTGGAGACCTCAATAAACTGATGATGATGATGATGACCGCTGCAGCGAGGCTGCTGAGGGGGGGGGGGGGAGCGGCGTGCGGCGAACGGCGGTGAGCGGTGGAAGGTAATTCTCGCAGAAGGCGGACCATGCATGCTCTGAGCTCCCTGGCTCTGCAGCCACTAAAAATTGGAGATTGGATAATATTCACCACTTCAAGCCCAAACGGCAACCGATATGAGCTTTCCTAGTCAAAGCAGGCGCTGCAATGGTTGAACAGACGGTAGCTACTACACCTTCCACCACCGGCAGTCTCTAGTGCCTCCAACATTTTGTTCAGCGCAGACCGTCTCAGCGCCGTTAGCGGGGGAGGGAGACGCTATAGGGAGGGGGCGGGGGCGGACCTGCCACCGACAGCTCAGTGTCGGGGGCGGGCGCGGCCGAGGGGCGGCGGTCGTCGGAAGCGACGCAGCAGTGTTGTCGGCCGGTGACGCACCACCAGTCACCCACAGGTGCCGGTGCGGCCGGGGGAGGGGGGGGGAGGGAGATGACCACCCGGTACAGCGCAGCTCGGGTCTGCTCGGACCGAGGGAGGGAGGGGAGCGGAGAGATGACCACACTGCACGGCCCCCCACCAGCGGATGATCGCCCCGCCGCGTCGCGCCGGCCGGTGCAGACTTTACCATTCCTAGGACGTGACCGAACTACAAATAGCGCTCATACCAGAACCTGGACCGACCGCAGTGCTGAACGAAAGCGCTTCTCGGGCTCACTGGGCCCCCACTATGCCGACAATACCTATAGCTCACCAACTAGAGGAATGCACTAGGCTATATGCTTTAAATGCAGCTAGCGTGCAAAAGCTGTGGTGTATAGCATTACAAAAATAGCAAGTGGCACTTGTTAAATAAATGGGTGTATGAAATCAAGCTGAAATATATCATTCAATCTGCCAGCTGCGATAAGGCATGCAGTTTCTTCCATCAAACTGAATTCTAGACCGTATCCAATCGCCGCGACCATAGATCAGGGGCCGATTTATCTAATGCTACAGCGATGGTGGCCGCCGGCCGGCTGCAAGACGGACAATTTGACGAAATGTCACGGCCGGCCGTTGGGTTGGCCGGCCGGGCTCTCCCTAAATCACAGCCTGGGGCCGAGGGCGGTCCACCAGTGACAGAAACGGGCGATGGATGGCGTCCGGCGCCGGCAGGGAAGACGGCGGGCCGTGTCGGCTCGAGAAACACGTGATGTTGCAAATGTAGAGCAATCTCTGACTCCCTAATAATGACCCCTGTAGTGTCCTGGTCACACAAGACGCGGATCCTTGTGGTGAAATGGGTCGGGCAGGTGAGACACATCAGTTCAGCACACTTCCTCTCTAACTGCGCTACTCAGGGACTTCTCAGCCAGGAGGTGATGCGTGTTTGACCCCGTTACCTGCACACGACAGGTGACCGTGCTGAGGTCGGTCGGCCCGTCCGACACTCGGACAGTTGTAGCTCCGACCGAGTCCCTCTGATCACAGGTGAGATTGGGGTACACGTGCCTCAGGTCTACAATCGAGGCCAGGTGCATACCGCTCGAACTCCCGAGGGATGTCAGACACCTGGGCCGCACTCAAACGTTTGTTATCGTAGCCGGCCGCAACAACAAACGATCATCTCACATTCATCAGAGGAGAATGGCCCCCAGTCAGCCGCAGAACTCCGCGAGGACCGTGCTGGCACAGCAGGATTGCTATGTCCTCTGCATGAGAAAAGAGACTTAACCAAACCTCTCCAGCGAGATTGTATATGCTGGCACCAGCCTGCCGGCCATTTTGTGGGGGCAGCCACCTGCACGCCGGATACGACTGGATGACAGCAGAAAGTGATATCGACTGAAAAATGCAATTAAACAAAGAGCTGACTTAGGACTTAGGAGCATGCTGCATCGTTTGGAGGCTCAGGCACCCATCAGTGCCGCTAGCCATACATCGGACCGGCAAACACTGGCCTGGAGCTCCAAGTGGCGCCGTCACGCCACCGTGCAGGTCACAGCCGGCCGGCCTCCTCAGCCAGCTCCGAGCAGCTCGTCAGGCTCGTCACTCGTCAGCAACAGTCGCCGAGCGCCGGCCCGGAACATCGATACTGCTCAGCCTAATGCTATTACATCTCCATACACACAATGACCCTTGCCAACGGCGGACAAATCCACTCGCTGGGATCAGTTTGCTGTTGCGCCGCGCTGGGGCAACTGGGTTGCACTGGCCAGACTGGCTGACAGCCCATGGCAGTGGGTGTGTACTGGGGAGTAGCTACAGCCAGGGGAGCCGGGCGACCGGAGGCGGCGGGACGGGGCGCCGGGAGATACCGGGCGGACAAGCCGACCCGAGAGAGTAAGGTATACCGAGCTATGTAGGCAACTACAGGTAGCAGCTGCCG